GTTCTCATTATCGTTACAATTGCTAGTATCGGCTGATTCATCAAGCTCATTAGATATAGTTGGGACTGTATCCCAATCTTCAAATTCATCCGAGTCCCAGAGTTCGTAATCTTCGTTTTTGAAATGGACCGATTTATTTGCGTATGCAGAAACGGAATGATTTGACCGACGAGGTGGTGGAGGGGGGGGCCTTTTGTTAGACATTGGAGATTTATTGTATGGATTATTAATCCTATTGGAATTAATAGTTGGTTGTTTTTGTTGATGGTCTCTCCCTTGTTGGCCAATTCGAGCCCTAAATGTACCAAAAACCTCGTTTGCTGGAGATTTTAGATTGTATTTCTCCGTCTTTCGAATACTTTTGCAATCAGTACTGAAATGACCTAATTTCCCACAGTTGTAACACACTGTTTGGGGTGTTGCTGCGTTGACTGAGGCTATCGGATCATTGAAAACAGGTGATGGCGAGAAATGTGAATTATCATTTTCCACTCGGAGAGGATCTTGAAACACTGGAAGAGGCTCTCGATCGAGAGGACGTGAAGACAATTGTGCCATCCAGTTCTGGTATTTTTCAGCAATGGTCCACGCAATTGACAAAGCGTTGTGTAGGGGAAACGCATCATTTTGCTGGACCACAGTATTCCAGACCATACCAGCATGACTTTGTAAAGTGTATTCAATCGTATATTCCACTTCTCTATCGCATCGTTCCCTGGTCGGAATTCGAAGGAACGCTTGTTCAAAACGCCTCAGGAATTGAGCAGTGGACTCTTTCTGTAATGGGCCAATTCTGAAAGCGATGAAAGCGTCAACAGGACTTCGCAACTTATTTGATAACGAGAGGATCTGTAGAATCGCTTCAACCGTCATTGGCCAGGTCGGTCGATGGGTTTTACAGAACGAGTTGACTTGCCTGAAATCACCCTGAAACAGGTGACACACTCTCTGGGGCCATAAATGGTAATATGTACCCTCTTGTATCAGCGCCGACTGAATTTCTTGCAGGTGCAAGAGGTTTTCGACGTCGCTTGTTCTTGTGAGTGGTTTTAAACCAGGATGAAATGGTTTGTTGCTATTTCTGACGTCCAGTGTGGACTCATCCAAATCAGATTCCGCGACGAGTTCGCACCAGTAATTCCATAGCCACTGTATATATACACTGTTACTGTTGTGCAGCGGCCAAGTCTTACGATCCTCCCTATCTAAATTTGGGTCGGATAAGCATAACAAGTTTGACTCATTTCGTGGACCTGGGGAACGCTTTGGAGCTCTGAACGGACCTCTTGCTGGATTCCAAGTCGACTGCAAACCTGGAATTGAGAGAGGGCCTCTCTTCATTTCGTTATCCAAATTCAAGTCTGATTTGGAAGGTTCATCCTTATCTTTGTTCACATTCTCGCTGATTTGCGAATCTGAAGATGACTCCGTCGGAGTAGTTTTGAACGAATTAACTACTGATTCCAAATTGTCCATTCTTTTGCTCAGAGCCGATTGCTGCAAACTAATATTTTTTATTTCTGCCAGTATTTCCGACAGTGATGGTTCAGGTAAAGCTTGGGTCTCTGAAGAACCCTTTGCAGATGTCGCACGAGTCGTGGATGGAGACATTTTATCGATTGTAAAATTTAAAAGATGGTAGTCGAGGTACCAGCGCAAATAGCTATTTGTGCGTTCTATTTACTGTTATTAAATGTACTCACGGTAGACTCTGAACTAAAAGCACGCCTGTAATCTATATCACAGAATGCCTGGTAAGTTCGTTGAGTCTGATGTAAGTTGATTGATTCGTGTCCAACCGAAAACTCCTAATGAGGCTAACTCTAATTAAGATTACATAATAGCGCCTATAACATAATAATGACTTCCAACATAATAACACGCGACCAGGACACACAATGTGACGATATTTTTCAGGGCCCCGATTACATCGTCATAACAGGGGTCTTACTGTACATGACAGCGGGGCTTTCTGCACACTAGTATAAACTCGAACTTACTTCCTAATCTAACCTAAATGGGAAGGTTTTTGGAAATCCTAAAGCCAATGTATGCCGTCAGGCATCTATCGGCTAATTACTATTCATGCCAATGAGTGATGATATCGGTTAATCATATCTCATTCCACCAGTGCATATTATTCTAATATGTACTATTTGTCGACTGTAGTCATGTTGCTGCCTTAATTGCAACATAATGTAATCACGTCTATTTCTTGCCTTAGTCGGTGGAGTTCACTAAAACACAAGGCTAAATGTTGTGATTAACAGGAATTAGCAAATATAGCCACGTGATTTTTAACATGCACGGACTTTTGTATATCTCTGTTGCTCAGTATTTATTGTTCTATAAAGTCTATGGCTATGAACGAACATGTGGGTGCAGTGTGTTTATTTTGTACTGCTTGAGTCTATGACTATCTAGCAGATTGGCTTACTCTATGACCCAGGCTACATCTTGTGCAGTGCTCCTTGCCTCTCCTGTTATTCGAAAGATCATTGATATATTGCTCGTAATAAATAGCCATTCAGCTCAGTATTTACCCGTGGATTTTAGCCACCTTTTCCATGGAACCTTCTACACAAGAAATATAAAAATAGTAGCAATGGAAACTACGTGCGCGGGAAAAAGTCTCAATAAACCTGCAGCCCCAGCCAGGCAGACCAAGACATTAGGACCACATTAGGTGTGCATATTTATCTATATCTCCCTTCTTTGTAACAGTCGAGGCCAACTTGATCCAATCAAACATGTCCGTATCTGGTGCTGGGTGCGCTCCGGAAACTCATCGGATGGCTTTTCCTCCATGATCAAGACTTGGTGATGACAAGGGCTCCGATCCTACCATCTAATATGATCGTGGTTAGCCTCATGATAATGGTGCCAAGGGATGTTGAAGCTTTGTCGTTTAGTGATAGATATGAGAGTGGTGTATATGGGTCACGATGTATGAGATAACTGAGGTGTGGATGTATGAGTTCCTTACTATTGTTGTTGCACTAGTTAGGGTTGTATTGTCTATATAGAAAAGGTATTTCTCCATCTACCAGTGGGCCAGATCGCTGAGATCTGGCTAGCGGCTTTCGCTATCCTGTTCCATCTCCCCCGCATGTCATCACGTGACTTGAAACTTCTGCTCACCATGAAGTCCGAGGATTAAAAGCGTTAGATTACAACAAGGGGAATGTGTTGAGAGATGAAAACGAAACAGACCACGAAAGCGATTGGGAATCCTGGTCGAAGTGAGGACTTTGTTACTCAATCTCGGCTCTGCAGACTCTGCAGTGAGAGCTGGAGGCTCGTTGGGGACACCACTGACAGGTGTTGAGAATAGTCCCCCCGAAGCCTTTAGTTTTTATGTGCAAAGAGTTGTAGAGAAGTTATGCTGCTCCAGTACTTCGAATACAATGACAATAATGTTTCTTAGGCATAAAGATACGGGGATAGATGTGTATCTATATTTTTGGGTTAGGTAAAAGGGTCAAATTATAAAATCTCTCCATGCAAACTTCTAGTCGGCATCATTATGGTGAGATACTGTTGTGTATCTGGGGCAGATTTTTGAAAGGAATTTTGTTCTTACAGCCACTGGATCAATTATTTCGCCGCGTCTTGGCTACCAAATAGAAACTTAGCGTCGTCGCTGTACCTCCTGCAGAGGGAATATGGCATATTAAGAGATGCCTTGGTGATTTGGGGGCCTCGAACGTGCGACTGCAGTTACTAAGGTCGCCCGCAACGATTAGTAATTGATCTATCTACGAAATTTACTTACACATGTGAGGAGATCTGCTCGTTTCTTTTAGCGTTGTAGCACCTGGTACCTAGTCAAGCGCACCTGGCGCGGGATTGATAAGAGGAGTTTAATGTTATCCTTTCAATAGAAGAACTGACTACTGCCGGCAAAGTGAGACCTGCTCAATTTAAGCCTTGGTTAACGCACCACTGCATAAAGTCGATAACTTTGGACACACATATAAAGAGCAGAAGTTGCGAGGTCATAGTGCACAGTCGATCCTACTTGCAGGTATAGAAGGCCTACATGTTCTTATGTAGCCATAGACTCTGTACGACAACAATCATGTAATCAAAACAAAAGTGGGATTTTGACCTCATTAGGGCTCTCAGGACAGAAGAGCAGCCATTCAATTTCACAGAGTTCAGAGTATATTAAACATTAATCTACACTGGGAGACTCACTGCACGGATGGACGCAGCCAGACCTGCATGGCAAAATCATTCCAAGGGGGAGTCAAGGTACTACTGAGCCTCAGGGGTTCAAGAACAATCAAATTAGTTACGCAAGCGAACTCAGACCCAGAGTATCTTCACAGTCTTCCGAAGTACCTCGAATCCATTCAGATGGCAGCAGCGGGCCGAGACAACGTTTTGCAATAAACATCGAGTAGTTGATGGCACCCTCTAAATGCGGAGGGTGAGACCCCTGCTTCAATCAGTCTAACGCCGAGTCCGGGAAAGGACATCGACACCCCGGCCATGGACAGTTAGCGCCGATTTTTTGTTGCAATGCGACTTTCGACATGCCTCTAAACTGGCAAGTGTTAAGTACAATTCACCTGGTTCCAGAAGGCGCAACCTAGTTAAAATAATGCATAGGATAGCTGAATTTATCTATCACTTAACCCTTGCATGTTCATGATCTCATGTGTGAACGAACAAGATTCCAACCATCGTGTTTTTATCCTTTTCTCAACACTCGTCCCCGGGCAAGCATCAATTATTCGAGTGCGCTACCTTCATTGAGCATGTAAATAATCATCAGACGTTAAAATTTATCTCAATCAAATGCTTTATAAACGTCCTAAGGGCGACACTCTCTCTAACGTACTGTATTTCTTGTAAGTCTTTTATGTCATTGATTTGAAGGGGTTAAACTAATTCCATGCTTTGGAGAATCACACTACAACTCTCATGAAATTATGCTTCACTGAACTATCCTAGTTTAACTAAATTTGCAAAACATCGATATAAACAAAAACATGGGCTCACAGGAAGCTACACAGCCAGGTACAATAATTTACACCTTTATATATAATAGCCCCTGCCACGTTCTTGAAATTAAAGCAATTGCAGAACTTTTTAGCTTGAGCTATGTTAACTTATAAATTGCAGCTACACAAGTAGTTGTAGATCCCCATAGACTGGGACAACCAGACTCGGATCTTAGCCAAGCAGATCTCGCAGATATCTGCTGCATACTACAACCCGACTCTAACCCTGCTCGGAGCGCCTGCTCTCTTCTTTACAGGATTGCACCTCAATATATTGTAACGAATAACCCAGCGATTACTCAGAATCGAACGACAGTCACTACTAACAGCAAAGGAAACGATGTCTATAAAATATCCTCGCAAGAAATTGCTCTTCGCTTGTCAGTACCGTCTAAAGATCCATCAGTTGGTGGGTTTTTCTTTGGGCGCAATGCGCAGCGCTGCGATATATTGGTCGGTAAAGATGCATCAAAAAGAATAAGCAACATTCACTTTCGAATCTATATTAATGAGTTTGGTTATCTTTTACTGGAAGACCTCTCTACCAACGGAACAGCGGTGGATGGCGTTTTGCTACGAGCCAACATGAAAGGAAAAGGTCTGGAGTCTCAACACGTACTCAGTCATGGATCTCTTATTACCCTGACTATGAATCTTCCCGAAGGAGAGGAGGATTATAGGTTTAAAGTTCGTATCCCAAACCGTGACTCGGCCGCAGAGGAGGCCTACCAGATAAACTTGACATCGTATTTTTACCGTGTGTTCAAAGCTGGAGCTAGAAAGGTGTCAGAATTTAAAAATACCTCGACAAATGTATTTTATCCATAATGTTCGATGTATCATGCACTGATGAGTTCAACAGTCTGAGCCGCCACCGAGTCGTAGAATAGATCCTGTACCGGCCAAAGTTGCGAAAAACATTGGTGTTAAACTAGAGGAATGGAAAGGTGGACAAAAATACAACAAAGTTAGCCGCATAGGTAAAGGCGCATTTGCAACGGTTTATCTAATTACTTCCAAATATAGTGGAGTTCCTTTTGCTGCTAAGGAACTTGAAAAAAGACGGTTCATGAAAAATGGTGTCCTGGACCCGAAACTCGATGATGAAATGAAGATTATGCGAAAGATAAATCATGTAAGTAATCTTTATTCTAAGATGTGCTTTATCTTATTTCTACAGCCCAACATTGTTCGATTTGTCGAGCATATTGACTGGCACGCCTACCTATACATAATTATGGAGTATATCCCAGGCGGGGATCTCGGGGGACTCATAAGCCAATATGGCTCCCTGCCTGAAGCTGAAGTCAAAAAAATTGCTAAACAGCTTCTTAGCGCTTTGAAATATCTTCATGCCGAAGGTATCACTCACAGAGACGTAAAACCGGACAACATTCTTGTTGCAAATAATTCACCCCTCCAGGTAAAGCTTACTGACTTCGGCCTCTCGAAGATGATCAACGGCGAGGAAACCTTTCTCAGAACCTTCTGCGGAACTCTTTTGTATTGCGCTCCTGAAGTTTATCCGGAATATCAGGAGTTCGATTCGGGTGGTAGAAGGCCACCCAGAGCTGTAAGGCGTAACCTATCATCCGTCCAACGCTATGACCAAGCCATTGATATTTGGTCCCTTGCTGGAGTACTTTACTATTCGATATGCGGGAAACCTCCGTATACAGTTGAAAATGGTACTAACTACCTTGATCTTCTAACTCAGATTATGACTCAGCCATTAGATATTCAACCATTACAAAAGTTGAATATTTCCCAGAGTGGCATTGAATTTATAAAAAAAATGCTGCATAATCAACCAGTGTTTCGCGCTACTATTGAAGAACTCGAAAAGAGCCCTTGGCTAACTGTAGAAGATGAATTAGAGATTGAAGACGTAGATGAGGTTGATATGCTTAGTTACAACAATCTTTTCAACATAATTGACAAGAACTCCCCGCATATGGGTAATAGCAATACACTAAGAGAAGCCATGAATAATATATCTTGCGCTGGGGAGAAGAGTAGTCTAACTGAAGTCCAAAATTCTGACGTTTCTGATAGTTTTACAACAAGTAAAGCTTTGTCAATGTTAATCAACAACTATGGACTATCCGACCTACCCAACCATGAACAGAACAAAGATGACAAATCAACCCGAAATGCTGCCAATGTTTGTCTTGCAAGCTCAGGGGCACTACCATCAAAGAGACATGAATTCTCTCCTGGACTTAAAACTTCTAAAAGTTCAAAACATGTCGTTGATAGCCAGAATTATGCTTCACTGCAATTTTGTGAAGAAGACAATATACCAGAATTGTCATGTTACAACAAACAAGGTTTCGGATCTCATGACTATGAATTTAGATCTTTGAGTCTACTGGGTGCCGAATCATTGATAAGAAATTTAAATATGCGCTCACCCATTCCAGCAAAACTCTTCTATCCAGAGAGTAACAAATTTCGGGATATAGAATCAGTGGAAATTACAGCTGGTCTTCGAAGGCCTAGGGAAGAAAATTTAGCTACTGAGCATTTACAGTTCCGCGCTTTAAGTAGAAAACGTAGGTGCAACCGTCAATGCCAGGCAGAAATAATTACACGGTTAGACTCAATGGAAGACTCAAACGAGATTGGCCCTGATTCTACCAATTTTCTTCCTATAACTTCAATATCGGAGGAGGCTAGAAATCAGATGCGCAACACAGATGATTTAGGTAATTGTTGTGGAACATTTTCACATAACGCTAGAGATATTTCGTGCTCTTTTGTTGGGCTTAACAATTTGAAGGTCCCTAATCCAAAGCTGTCAATTCCTGAGTGCAAAGTAGCGAATACAGAACTAGGGTCGATTGAGTCCTCAATTAGCTACCACCCAGGCCAAAATTATTGGTCTATTTCGAACTATCCAAATATTGAAGGCCAGGATATAATGTTCACCGGTATCTCCGCTCATGACAAGCAAAATCAGTCATCCAAGTACACTTTTGCAAAGCTCGTTTCAACTCCTGATAGTTGTCTACCTGGTATAACTATAGACCTTGTACAATTTATGACGAGCTGGGGTCGTGGCTCCAAAGCGACAATGCGCTACCCTGAACTGAACGAGAATCGCATCCCAAAATATGCTTTCAAGATTTTTCTTTTCCGGTCTGGTTGTAACAACACAGCCTCCTTAGATTCCAACTATCAAGCCTCGTCTGGGTTTTCGAGTCAAGATATGAACTTTTATATCTCCACAAAGGCATCAGTTGGAATATGGGTAAATGATTTTAACCTGATGTCTTATGATCGTCAAAACCCGAACACTGAGTCAAAATACTGGGGAAAACTAATGAATGGTGATTTAATTACTGTTTGGCGTCATGATTCAAAGCCGAGAGAGATTTTTACGCGATTCCGGTTTGAATGTTCCTACGGTCAATCTAAAGAAAGCAGATCGTCTAGTGATCAATTCCAACTAATACCTGATGGTCCATATCTCAGGGAATTAGAACAATCTTGTAAAAAAATGGAGAAACTCATTCTATCACAAAGAGGGACTAGGAGATCAGAATAATCCTGTGCCTTATCTAAGTATTTTTTTTTAGGTACCTACAGATGGAGTTGATAAATGTCCGATTATCAAGTTTGTAAGATTCGTATTTCCTCTAAGAGTACTGGTCTTTATGCCGTATTCAAAGCACCTCTTTGTAAATTTGTAGATGAGACTTGTGTCACAACGCTAAGTGATGTTCTTGTACTTTTACCAAATTGGACTGTGCGGGATTTGAAAAGTTTTCTTTTAAAATATTTTTATTGATATCATTCTTGAGCGAGTTGGTCAGGGAGCGTGGGTTTTTTTCGTTGGAAGTGCAAAGTACCAATTTCTTGCTAGGGTAGGCTGGAGACAAAAGTCGGACAAATAAACTGGCTGATTAACTAGGAGGCTCTAAAATTTAAAATGCGAGTGTTTCTAGGTACAAAGTTTACAGGATGTACGCAAAACTCCATTGAATTCTGTGTTCCCAGAGTGTTTCGTAAGGCAGTAATTTTTAGTAAAACTAGTGACCATTGTATACTCTTGCCCCCTCATCATGCCAATAACTCCTTGACTTTCATAATACGTTGCGCTTGAAGTAGAACGTCGTTGAAGTCAGTCACATTGACTCTCTTCAGTTTATGCTTTTAATCTTTACAGCACTTAACTTTCAATCACCAATAATTAGATGTAGAGGCTGTCTAGTCCGATGTCATAAGTTGATTGCCTGAACTAAGGATCGACTGCAGATCCAAGGAGACAGCCACAATCAGTAGATTAAATCAGAGCCCCAAAAACTCCGGCACCATCTAGTGTACAGAGATTAAGCCTTTACCGTTACTAGTTGTATTGCATGTAGGTGGCTGTAGAATTGAACTTAAGGTTTCCCTTGATCACTTTGTCGACCGCACTTAAAAAGTCTTTCTCCGTGGCAACCTTGCGCCTGGCGCGGATAGCAAACATGCCTGCCTCTGTACAAACACTTCTCAACTCCGCGCCAGTGGAGTTGGGACAAAGCCGTGAAATCAGTTCCCATCGGATATCACGCTCAACTGACATACTTTTTGCATGGATCCGAAGTATGTTTGCCCTTCCATCAATATCTGGGAGTGAAAACTCGATCTTGCGATCAATACGACCAGGTCGCATGAGAGCTGGGTCTAATGTTGAAGGCCTATTGGTGGCAAACATGACCTTGATGTTTCCTCTTGCGTCAAAGCCATCAAGCTGTGTTATTAGCTCCAACATGGTTCTCTGCACTTCGTTATCCCCTCCAGCACCATCATCAAAACGGGCCCCCCCAACAGCATCGATTTCGTCGAAGAAAATAATGCATGCTTTTTTTGTCCGTGCCATTTCAAAAAGCTCGCGAACCATTCTAGCACCTTCTCCGACATACTTCTGGACCAATTCACTTCCAATGACTCGAATAAACGTCGCATCTGTCCTGTTGGCCACAGCTCTTGCGCAAAGAGTTTTTCCAGTTCCAGGTGGTCCGTAGAGTAAGGCCCCTTTTGGTGGGTCAATACCGAGGTTGACAAAGCGTTCTGGTGAAAGAAGGGGCATCTCCACGACCTCGCGGAGCTTCTCGACCTGTTCCTTGCATCCACCAACATCTCCATAAGTAACGTCTGGTTTCTCTTCGACTGTCATCATAGTGACACTAGCATCAATTTTAGGTGGCAAGGGTAACAAGATTTGGTATTTGTTCCGGTCAACACTGGGAAATTTAGTGTTGAGTTTTTTGAGGTGACTATGATACTAACCCAACTCTCATACCCTCCTCAATATCTGTAGGACTGACACGATCCCCAAGCTTGACCACAAATTTGGCGATTTGCTTAACGTTGATTACATACTTGCTCTTTTCGGCGTTTTCTTCGTTACTTATGATTTTGGTACATCGTGCAACCTGAAGTGGTTGTTCTTCGGACATACGCTGCCTATCTGCTGCAACATCCCATAAATGAGGTGGTGCTAACCCAGTATCCGATTCTTTAACACCAATCTTCTCATTCACACTAGCCTGTTTTTCTTTGATCTGTTGTTCAAGCTTTTTGAGGTGACTAGCATATGGAGCAGCACCGTATGTTTTGAGAACCTGGATATCTCTGCTGTGGTTAGCTAGTGTTGGCTTTTTAAAGTCGCCTTAGCATACTCATCTGTGAGTGGGATTATTTTCTTTTCTTCAATTTCATCGTCGGAGAACTTTTTGGTGTATTTTTCCCAATTTTGACCGGTGGCAGAAGGCATGTTAACGGTGGGCAGTATGCTGGTCAAAATGAAGTCATGTAAGCTGCAGATATTCGCAAAGCAGTACCTTTGTTAGTCATACGTATCGGCGAAGAGCTAGTGTGGAAAGAGGCTAAGCGTTAACCATTGACCATGCGCCTTGTGAAAATCCTAGGTTGCGCGCTACACACAGACTTGAAGCGCGCCTAAATATTCTCACAGGAACACCATTTTAGTGCTATAAATCACTTTGCGAGCGAAAGGAAAGAAAGATCATCGTCATGGCGCCATCAGTCGCAGTATCAAATTCCCAGAATGCCTCATTTAAGGTGGGCAGTATTATGAAGGCTACAAGATAACTTTGAAAGCTAATGTTTGGCCTAGGATAAGGAAAAGCCAATGGCAGTACGCGCCGCAAATATATTGGCTGCCAGAGGTACTGGAGTTGCCTTTATAAACTTAACACACGCTGAATATGTTTCTAGCCGTGGCTGATGCAGTGCGAACATCCTTGGGCCCAAGGGGAATGGACAAGATGATCACCACTTCAAAGGCATGTGCTGGTACTCTGTGATTAAGCGGCGACTAATATCTTGACGCTTTTCAGGGGCAAACAATTATCACGAATGATGGAAATACAATGTTAAAGAGTATGGCTGTGATGCACCCCTCAGCCAAAATGCTCGTCGACCTATCAGCAGCACAGGATGTCGAAGCAGGAGATGGAACAACTTCAGTTGTGGTTATTGCAGGAAGTTTACTCGGTGCAGCAGATAGGCTACTTTCTAAGGGTATACACCCTTCAGTTATCTCAGAATCATTTCAAAGAGCTGCCACTGCAGCCGTACAGGTCCTACACGATATGTCCCATCCAGTCTCATTGAATGACACAGCAACTCTTCTACAAGCCGCGACTACTTCGCTTTCATCTAAAATTGTCTCGCAACATTCAAACCTCCTGGCCCCGATGGCTGTAAATGCTATAACAACGACGATTGACATCAAAACTGCAGATAACGCTGACCTTAAAAATATTCGAGTATTGAAAAAGGTTGGAGGTACGATAGAGGATAGTGAAATGGTAGAAGGATTGGTCCTTAGCCAGCCAGTCGTTAAGAACGGAGGTGGTCCTGCCCGCATGGAGAAGGCCAAGATCGGGCTGATTCAGTTTCAACTCTCCCCACCTAAACCAGATGTACGTAATAGCGCCTCATTTTAGATTACTACTAACTTCTTTAGATGGAAAATCAAATTGTTGTTAATGATTACCGACAAATGGATAAGATCCTCAAAGAAGAACGGACCTATCTACTTAACATTGTTAAGAAAATAAAGAAAGCCAAATGCAATGTTCTTCTCATTCAAAAGTCCATTCTACGAGATGCTGTCAATGAACTTTCCCTCCATTTCCTTGCAAAGCTCAACATTATGTGCATTAAAGACATTGAACGTGACGAAGTCGAATTTATCTGCAAATCGACTGGGTGCAAACCAATTGCAGACATCGATTCATTTACCGAAGATAAGTTGGGCAGTGCTGACTTAATTGAGGAGGTCCAATCAAATGGTAGCAGATTCGTAAAGGTCACAGGCACCAAAAATGCAGGAAAAACTGTCAGTATCGTCTGCAGGGGTGCTAATTCTCTTATACTAGAGGAGGCAGAACGTTCGTTACATGATGCTCTCTGTGTAATACGATGTCTCGTAAAAAAGAAGGCTCTTATTGCTGGAGGAGGGGCACCGGAAATCGAGATTGCCACACAATTGTCCAAGCAATCCAGGTCACTTAAAGGAACAGAAGCTATTTGTTGGAAAGCCTTCGCTGACGCCATGGAAGTTATTCCTACTACTCTGGCTGAGAATGCTGGGCTAGATAGTATCAAGGTAGTAACAGAAGCAAGATTTAAGCACGAAAACGGCGAAAAAAATGCAGGTGTAAGCATCAAGAGCGGCGGCGTTAAGGTTGATATTGCGGAAGAAAACGTTCTACAACCGCTGCTCGTGAGCACGAGTGCTATCGAGCTGGCAGCTGAGACGGTCAAAATGATATTGCGGATCGATGATATAGCCTTATCAAGATAAATAGTAGAGACGGTCCATGATCAGGCATCTTAGCAAATCATGTTGTCAATCTTGGTTGTGCCATTTAAGTCGCATGGGCAAGCGAGCGTGGTTTTTTCCAAAGAACTGACATTCGTGCAGCTAAGTATTCTGGTATTCGATAAAAATGACCACATTAAAAAATTAAATATTCTAGACGAAGCTAACACTTGTCTGTAGGCATGTCTGATTATATATCTGCATATAACTGGGTATCTAGGGTAGAGACTAAAACGGATAACCGTGATGCCATGAGATAAAAAGATCTCATTCCAGCCTCCAACTTCAAAGCTTCTGACTACTCATAACCTGGAAGCTGTATAATATACCAAATATTTTAGTTAATAGCAAAATATTCCTTGGTGATAGGATAATATTAACGCCCACAGTCAACTCAAAATGATTCAGTGTACCTTGTCTACCTAAAACCTACGCATTCCTTCTTTTGATTTTGACTTTATAAAGCCTGATTTGAGGTATTGTAGGACCAAGACAATCTAACAAATTTCTATTTGTATGAAAGCCTAACAGTTATAACCCCCCTACCTCTATCTGTTAGATGACTATAAACTTTGTAATAATTTTTCAGAAAGCAATGTTTCTTAAGTGCTACAAATGTGTACCTATCATGAGCTATTCATTGTCTCCAATTCTTATCTCTCACTTCACCTTAATTTCATTTTGGGCTGCCCCAATCATTTGTATTCGCCCTATTTTACCATCTCATAAGTTCCTCCACATGATATTCTTTAATCATGTGGGTTGTCTCTTGTGGCTTTGCAGGATTGATCCGGAACTTCAATCCATCTCTACTTTGTATTGTTGCGATCGAGGAGGAATTAACTTAATGCATGCGAAGTTTTGCGATTGATAGACATGTTTCAGTATTCTCTAGGTATGTTTGGAATGGCAGAAATAGACATTGACCGTTAAGTTGATACTTTAATGAGAGTAAAACTGGGAATTTTTTGTATAGGAGATAAAGGATTAGGACATGTGTAATTTAAATTCCTTTTTTAGAAAGACTTATATATTCTCTAAATGTTAACTACAAAAGATTTTTAATGGGTGTGCTACCTCGCTTTGGCATAAAAAATTTGCTCCCACCTTTGAGTAGAATTCAAACTGTTCAGTCCAAATTTAAACAAACTTGGCAGCTTGAACTGCAGAATCTTGATACATCTCTTCCACACATATATTGGTTGAGCTCGGTATGCTTGCTGTGAAATTACAGCTCTATACCGCTTGGGACATCTTCGGGCTCGGATGCAAAGCTCATGTTGTTGCCTTGACTGGTTGTGTGATTGATGTAAATTAAAGTCTCTACTGAGTTTAATACTATGAGAAACCATTCAAGGATCTATTTAATCGGTTCCTTCATTTACAGAGGAATTTCTAACATGTATATTACAATTTTTGGCTAGTTGATCCTTTCTAGAGAGGGTTTTCCATGTAAACTCACGAATTTTGTAGGAATTAATTGGGGCTTGACCCTCAGGATCAACTGGAATGTAATCGTAATATCCAAATGAGAGATTGACCCATAGATTAATAAGAATAGACCAGAATTTGTGGCATGGAGAATGCGAAAGGGAGACAAAATGATGCCGTTAAGGTGGCCGCTTTCCAGGAGTGGAATAACTCATGGACAAGTCCAGGGAACGAGAAGCTATCTGATCATCGAGCTTTGGCAGACCCCGAACATTGGAAAACCGCAAATATTGTTAAAGAGGAGACAGCAGGCAGAAAAAGGATTACCTATAGAAACACACCCTCAAATATCCACCGGAACCTTAGCTGGGCCCAAAGCAGTATTGCAGTTCATCTAAAAAGCGAGCACTTTGGTCTCAACTCTTATCTGCATCAAAGGAAAGTCCTCAAAGTGATTAGTCCAAAATTTCAGTGTAGATATCCGGCTCAAAATGTCAAAAATTTGGTCCCGGCGTGTCTTCAGTGGGCAATGGAAAGAGGAGAGGTGCTTCGAAAGGCAAACGATACGTCCTTTACGGCAACGATGAACAGCCCAGATGGCATGGAGAGAATCACAAATTGGGTCCTGGCAAAAGGCTGGTTTGAACAGAGTAAATTCACATCCTGTAGGAAACCTCAGAAGACCAATAGACACGAGATAGGCAGTCTTGGGGAGTTTTTACCGAATTTGGCTTCCTCCGCTGCAAATATTACAGCTACATGTGCCTGCATGGGCCCATGGGGCAGCTGAACGGGCTGATGAAATGAAATCGAAAAGAGAAACCTATAAATTAAGCAGCTATTTAGGTAGGTCCTTAAGTAATCTTACATAGTCTGGGACTCAGTGGAGACTTAAATCAATCTATCGGAATTGGTAGATTTGAAGACTTGATTGTCTACTGTAATCAACCTAAGTATGTCCATCTCTTCTATGCCCGAAAATATTCCTTGTCTTTTGACCTGCTTAGTTTCATTACATACTGTGAGCAGATGCATATCTGAGCATAGTCAGCTCTAATCACACAGTCATGTGACACATGAGGATTACGGAATCAGGGGTTTGGTTCTTGGAGTTATGCTCGTATTGCAGATGATACGAACGCGTATGTACCTAGGGATGGCGCTCTTCATATTGGTACAAAAAGTAGAGAACCTTAGTGATCTAGTTACTATACGAGATTTTGCCAATTACGTTTACACATACAGATAATAATGTTTTCCAGAGCAATGAGATGTTTGAGCGTTTAACTTATTAGGTTCCTTAATATTTTGGGTAATTTCCTAGATCATGTTATTTTCCGAAGGGAATCACCTTTACTTGTGGTGTCATGAGAGATAGCTCGGCTTCGGCTCAGGATGGACACATTTATTAGGATCTTTTTGACTATCATCTTGCACAAAGCCTCCACCAAATGGAATTTCACGTTAACGTCAAATGTGCTAACTTACTCGATGTTCAGACCTACATCCCTGGCTTTGGTTACTAGCTATTTACTTGAATTACAAGTATCGTAAAAGATCCAGCTAAGATAAGGATTTTATTATAGTCCCTTCTGGGTCTAAGACTATGAAGGACTAGGATCCAGTTATATTCTGAGAATTCATAGATTTGAGGGTAGAATTGTTCATTTAAAAGTTTCCATATTTTTAGTTATCGCATATGACCGGTACTATGTGCAAGTGTGGTATGATCCTCTTGACTCTGGAGATAACTATACCCTAGATCCATCTGCATATATCAAAATGAGGCGCGCTCGTTGACAAATATGAGTAGATGGTTCCGTGGAAAAGGTGGACGAATTCCATGGATAAATACTGAGCTGAATGGATATTCGTCACGGGCGATATATCAATGTTCTTTCTAGAAACATGAGAGGCAAGGACTCTGTACAAGATGTGGCCTGGGCCAGAAAGGAGCCCAATGTGCTAGATAGTCCAAGTCTCCAGTAGTACAATAAGCATATATCTCTCTCCTACGGGCATTCATATTGTCGTAGTGGTGTTTAGAGATCAGCTGGGACCAGAGGCCCAGTACAGGAGAGGTGTGATTATCACAGTAAGAATGTACTGAGTCGTACTTGCAGACTTGATGTATTTTTTTAGGGAATCGGTCTTGTGCGAAGGTGTCGCTATACAAGCATACAAAGCTGCTGCAGAAACTCTTTACTTTGTTGATTCACATGACATCAAAATTATCACCGGTCCAGTCTTTGATTCCAACAATGTTTGCATGAACATCCATATCTGACGACCACTATTATACGTGAATAGCTATGCTTCTTTGTCCCAGCTCATGATAACTATCGTTTATTTTGAACTTTGAATTATTACTGTCAGCTAGGCGGGGTTTATTGAAATTTGTGCACCCGAGGGAATTACTTTACCATTCGACTGCCTCATTTGAACACTATCCATCGTTCGAGCCATGGGCTATCTGAAAGGCGGGATTTAGATTGCGGAAAGTGTAACGGTGGAAGTTTTTTTTAAATCATTTAATGTGTATTCATCCATCTAGCCATGACACATGACCGGTACTATGTATACATGATGGACGACTCTTTTGACGTAAGAGACACTCATACAGTGGAAGTTTGTGACGGAGGGAATACAAGCTTACTTTCTTAGCCCAGTGGTTGGTAGTGTGGATTACTACTCTTACCGAAGATGCAGCCCTCCCGGCTAGCCTCGACTTCAATATCATCTTTGTGAGCACTGCGCGTAAGGGCTGAAGTTTATAGGTAACGCTGCTAACAGTTGTTGAGGTCTCATTCTTCGGTATTTTCGCCTTAGTAATGTGTACACAGTTGTTTAATCAAAACACATAGTCAGTGTGATGTGCACATGTTGAATTACTATATTAAATCAAGAAGTAAAAAAATTCAGCATCTCAGTCGTACTTATCGCTGAGGAGGTTCTTATTTACAAATCGCAGTTAGCTCTCGCTCGAGATTTATTACGAAGAATACGATTCAAACTTCGATTATCCAAACATGTTTTTGCTAGGGCGTGCATGAACATGGCAAGAAACATAGTCATATGTTTGGAATACAAAAAGCGTTGGCCCACCTCACGCCGGATAGAAGCGAAGGATATTTCGAAATTTACTTGGGGGTCAATTATAAACGATACACCCTCAAGCCTCCCAACCTATTGGCTGTTACCGCTGTTGTCTTCCAAGAGATGCATTTCACAACTTTGTTAAAATTGAACCATGATTCAAGTTAAACTGTAGGTAAATTGTGCGATGGGGAAAGACATTACTTTTCTACACCATGAGTAAATTGTAGCTCCACATCATTTGTTAAGTATCAGTTCGAAAGCACAGAGTTTCCGCCTGCTTACCGTGCCCTTGGGATTGAGCTGAATTCGAACCGTGTCAGGCCACAGATTTCTAGAAACATTTTGTTCAGAGGTGAGCCAGTTGACACATCGTTTAGAATGAGACACGCAGAGAAGGTGTGAGGAGTAAGACATTTGCCCGAATAAACTCAGTAGGTCACATGATCGGTTCTATCTAACTACAAGTCCAACTTTGCCGCCAGAGAATTTAAGACTTATCGTCTTATTATATGTACCCTATTTCACTCTTTCAAGCATCTTAAACTTTGCGCCATTCATTTAATGCGCGAGTGTTTATAATTTTGTGCTTAACACCTGCGCAACCTTAAAATAAGCATAATTCCGTCTAGCACAATCATGCCCGTAGGTTTCATCTTAGCCGTCATAGTTACAGACAATTCTAATGAGACAGATTGGTGATCTTCTTGCGCAGATTACTGGAGAAACCAGATCAAACTCGATACAATCCACAATCGGCGAAAAGCCCGCACCCAAGCGCAAACTCGATGACCAATCACGAAAACCAGTCGAGAAAGCAGTTAAACTGGAGAAGACCACAGAGTTCATTGCAAAGCGGAAAATTCCGACAGATCACTCATCCTCTGTCAACTCTAATCTCTCAAGAATGAAACTAAATACAGTTGTACGCCCAGCCACCACACGACCTTCACCTATCACGAAAGCTGCTCAAGTAACACCTTCATCTAATGGACCGGTGAAACCTCTTAAAAAGGGCTCATACGCAGAGATTATGGCTCGGGGCAAAGCAGCTCACGCGACCTTGGGACAGGTGGGAAAAATCCAGCACAAGACTATTGAAAAACCCCTTCCAAGACGAGAACGGGAAGAATTGAAGGCTCAGCGCTCCCAAAAGCTTCAGAAAAATCTTACACCGAATAGCAAGTTCCCAAAGCCAGGGCCGAATCAAGTACGCCAGGCTAACAGTGCCATATCAAATGAAAAGACTGCCTTAGATTCCAACAAAAAAGTCAAGAAATCTGCACTAGCTACTACAGGATATACTGGGACTGCGCGGCCGAAGCCTGGTGGAACAAAAACGCCATCGCGAACGTCTGTGTCAGACCCAACTTCTCGTGTCAATAGCAGTCATAATGGCAGGAATTTTACCTCGAGGCGAAGCTTTCAGGATAATCGTGACGAATACGAAGACGAAGAAGAAGAGGAAGAGGAAGAAGGCGATTACGACTCGGATACCTCCGACATGGAGGCTGCCGTATTTGAGGTCGACGAGGAAGAAGAAACCGCCGCTAAAATAGCGCGTCGGGAGGATGCGGAGGCCCTAGCAGAAGAGAACAAACTTAAGCGGGAAAAGGAAGAAAAACGAAAAAAAATGGCTGCTTTGGCCAAGACTCGGGGTGGTCGATCATATTAGAAGGTAGGAAATTGTCAAAGACCTTATCTTTGTTGCACAGTGGTGGTAAGGAAATAATCTCATACATCCTTAGTTTAGCGACAAGGCGTCGGTGGTTAAAGCATCTTTTGGCGTTCACACTTTATTTTCGAACACTTCTACGCTTTAGATCTGTCAACTCACTCTCCAAGATAGCATAGTCACTTATTAACACGGATTATATCCTTGAAACTTGCTTTCCATTTGTCCAGCATCAGCCCTTTATGCTTTTATGTGCCTTTCACCTGATTGATAAACATGGTTTGAATTGACTTAGCGCTTAATCTTCAAGATATGACGTTTATTGCATGTAAGAATATTACTTCATTTTAGGTGTTCTTGTGAGCTTGTTGCAACTGTGTTGTATGATAATACCACAGTTAACTTAAGGAGATTAATTTATAATATATGAGCCGATTGTTGTATCAGAAGCTAGGCTCAAATATAAGAGTATGAGCTTGTTTATTCCTATTGTATCAAGCTATTAGAATTAAAGTAGCAAAAGATACCCTTCCATGCGTCAAAGCCCTATCCTCTGTTCAAAAATAAATGTTGTGGAACATATTTTTCTAGTAGACGGGTTATCAAAAGCGTTGTCCAATGCTGCCAGCTATGATAGTCTCACAAACAGAAATGTCTGTGTACGGGGAGACAGGTATCTAGTGGGGTGTGAAATCTCTGCGCCAGTATTGGAATAATCATTTAGAGCAACTTCATCCCAAACTAGGTTGAAGAAAAACCGAGATTAACTGATCACTTTTCATCGACAGTAATATTAAGCTTCTGAGAAATAAAGTATGTCTTGTGGTTGAAAGTGTTGTGATCTAACGCTGTTCAATCTGCGGACTTTGCGGTGAGCAGTTATTACATCTCACGTGATGGAACACGGGAGCGAAGTAAAAGAGGGGACAGCCCACTAGCCAAATCTAAGCGATTACAGGCACATGTAAAACTGTAGCACATTCTCCATAGATAGACATAACAAGCAATTATCATCAATAATTAAATCAACCTCCACACAATTGAGACCCATAGAAGTGCCAAACTTTCAAACAGCCCTCAGTTGTGTTGTCGCAATCGCATCTGTAACGAGCCACCACTGCATTCTAGAATACATTCTCTAACTGTGATAAGCTACACCGCCAGGTCTAGCAAACAAATTACAATAGAAAGTAGTAATCTACTGATCCTGAATAAGCTGGCTAGGTAAACAGCAACTCCATATATTTGTGGCAGCATTTATTAATTTTGTTTTTCTTTCTATCTAGGGGTAGTATTTCATCTATTCATGTAAACAAAGTTAGCGATGCCACGTGACCTTTCTATCAGTACGTAGATTTCATTCGTAGCAGTTGGGCCCTCTACTCAATACATAAAACGCAATGCCGTGTCCCACTAATCTCAAGTCATTCTCAACCTAAAACTCTATAAGATATGCAGGTTCTCTCTATCTATAGGCCAAGGCTACTTATTTACAATGAAGTCTGAGGCATGAGTGCTCTTCCTTTACGTTGAATCATCTATTCTGTACTTTTCTTTGATATTGTGTCATAGCTTGATAGCTGCATACGCAATTAAAATCTGATGCAAAAAAAAAGGGTACTTATTTACTAGTATATCACCTCTTATGCTACCAGCACAGTTTCCCTAAATTATCAAAATTGTAACCCTTAAAAGCGGCCAGAGTTTATATCACAAATTCAAGAAGTCCTTCATAGTCTTAGACCCAGAAGAGACTATAATAAAATTATTATCTTACAGTTTCCCTCAAACAGTACCACCCCTCGAAATTCCTCATTTGATCATACACTTAGAGGAGCCCTTTGCCCTTCATTATCTCCCTCCTCTAACTAACAGTGTGACGGCCACTTACAGGTGCATAGTAATAGAGGAAATTTGCAAATACCACTGGGTGCGGGCTCTCCTAGCACCGACATTAGGACTAGATCCGAAGATATAGCTACCGTTCTGAAGCATTTAGAGGCAGGACAGCTGGGAGCTGGGAGCTGCGAATTCGTGCGAAGATAAGGAAATTCACTCGCTGAATTTCTGGCTGCAGGTATACAACTTCTTGGGGGACGAAACTCAACACCTGTCAGTGTTGTCCCCTACGAACCTTCAGCTCTCACTGAAGAGTCTGTAGAGCCGAGATTGAGTAACACCCTATCAACTTTGAGCTGAGTTATCTCCCTCTCTGTCAAAGATACGCTTCCAATAACACACAAGACGACCAAAACGACGATAATGATGCTGAGAATGAGGAAAGATAATATGGTACAAAACGCTACAACGGTAGTCAGAGAAGCCCTCGTTATATTACAACATGTGCTACCCAACGGCGCGCGAACAAAAAGCCCACAAAAGCAAAGTAAAAGACCCTTCCGCCCTCAAGAAAGGCAGATTTCGACTTGTCAAAAATATAGTCCCTACTAATCTATACCTCCGAATCTACTAGCCAGTAGGGCATCTGAAATACATGAGTTACTCGACGACCCCGCGTCCGTAACGACTTTTGGATGCTAGGCTAGACTCCTTCACGACAGTCAATCTCGACCAAGACTTTTCTGGTATTCTTTTACGACCTTCGGTTTGTACTGCGGCATGAATCAGAGAGGAGTAAGGAGGAGGCTAGGAAGGTTGAGAGACGCTCTTGGGTATACACAGGTCTGCTGTGCCCGGCCTCTTCTTCACAGGAGAGCCCCGCACCCAATGGGTTTTAAGACTTTTCCCTGCAGCTACACACCCGCAAAATGCCATTGTTTAGTTGGCTGAAGAGAAGAAATAATGACTGGATAACGGCTCCTCTTAGTATTTACTCGAATGAAGACCTGTTGGGGTATTACTGCTGAAAAGAAGTCGTGAGGGAGGCAAAGGAGGGAATACACTACCCGAGGCATATGTAATCCCGGCCTGTAGGCAGAAAGGACTTACATGTCCTTACATAGTCATAGACTTTACAGCACAATTGTGACGGGCTTTACCCGGATTGGGACTGGTCACTAGAACCACTCCGTCTACGAGGTAAGATAGTGGCAGATCAACGATACTGAATAGACGAAAGGGGCGCTAAGGGGTAGTCAAAGGGGGTACGTATCAGATGGGGAGTATGATACAGGAGAAGAGTTGTGCCGGGAGAAAGGATGATTCTCATATGGCCAAAGGGGGGAGTTAATACTAGCGTACGCGGAAGACATAAAGGACAGGATACGATACAGTAGTTTAGCTTCCCAAGGAAAAATTATTCATCTCTATTGCGTTAACGACTTCAAGTACTTCTGAATTCCTTAAACCCTTTACAACAATGAACACATACACAAACAAGGAGGACAAAGGCTGAACACCTGTCAGTGGTGTCCCCTACGAACCTGGGAGTGAAATATTCTCCCAGAGCCGAGATTCAGTCACGAAAAAGGGTGAGATGAATTTTACTTGATGGATTTTCGACTTGAAGGAGTTGTACTCAATATTTTAGTCGAAAAATCATTCGGCAGAGATTTCACAGCCGTAACAAAGTGGTTTAAAAACTCATCACCACCAACATACGATTCATGAATGGGCCTAGGTCTGTCTAAGGGTCGTATTGAAGCATCCGACATCTCCCAAAACTCCTTACATATTTGCGACGAAGCATTTCTCAGCCGATTCTACACCTGCGACCCACCTCCATACTCGTCACATCACCTACCTACGCACGCCCTAGTGAGGAAAGTCATGATGTAAACAGGACGTGTACAAAGGAGGAAGAAAATGGAAGATACATCGAGGGGATTATACAAATCCCCAATGACGACAACAACCCGACGGTACGATATGAAGGTACAAGGCTAGAGCAACGATGAGATCTGGGACTACATTTATATTTCGGAGTCAATGAGGATGTCAAGGGCTCGGGCGCGTGGTGGCCGAGGCTGAAGAGAAATTTGTGCCATGGCGTGTCGACAGCGGGTTTCTGGACGGTTAGGCTTGGTATGATTCAACACATACTTCAAGTCTGAGGTGATCTGGTCATTTAAGTGGGACGAGGTTTATCTGTACTTCACGGTAGTTAACCTGATCCGGCCCGACCCCACTCGTGCTTAAGCTCTAGTATGAGTGCAACGGTAGTCACTTAACCGAGCACGTTAATGAACAAAAAAAACATACACACACAAGGCATTGAACCCTGCAAGTCCTACATACCTTTTCTACTCAGAAGCACATGTAGTTATAGACTCAGAAAGGAAAATAAAATGAATTAATAATAATAATAAGGATTTAAACAAAGTGGGCCCCCTTTGTACTAACATTAGCCTCCTTCGAACCCTTTTCCGAAATTGGTGTCCAAATTCCTGAAAATTCCTGACAAAGTGTGAATGCTGTAAAGTAGCCTGGAAGAGCTAGTTAGCTGCATGCACAAATCACATCTGATGCATACAAATCTGTAATGCAATAAGTTGGACATGAGTAGGGCAGAGACTGGACACCCGTCTGCGGTGTCCTCCACGAACCTGTTGGTGAAATTTTCTCCTAGGATCAAGTTCAGTCAAATTTCGCCATACCAAAGAAGTTGGTCAAGGAGGCAATGATTCAAGAGAGATGTTATTTATTGTACTACTTGAGTCTTAGACTATCTATCATATTGGGCTCCTTTCTGGCCCAGGCCGCACCTTGAACAGAGTCCTTGCCTTTCATATTTCTAGAAAAAACATTGATATATCGCCCGTGACGAATATCTATTCAGCTCAGTAATTACCCGTGGAAGTCGGTCACCTTTTCCACAGAACCTTTTACCAAAAAAAAAAAAAATGGTAGCAATGGAAACTGCGTGCGCGGGAAAAAGTCTCAAAAAACTTGCAGCCCCAGCCAGGCGAGGCCTAGATACCGGGACCACATGAGGAGCGCATATTTATCTATATCTCCCTTCTTCGTAACAGTCGATGGCGACTTGATTCAATCCGCCATCGCCGTATCGGGTGCTGGGTACGCTCCGGAAACTCACGGGATGGCTTTTCCTCCGTGATCAAGTGTCGGTGATGAGTAGGGCTCCGACCCTACCGTATAATCTGATCGTGGAAAGCTTCATGAAAATGGTGATCGGGGGATGTGTTGAGAGATGAAGACGATACAGACAGCGAAAGCGACTGGGAATCCTCATCGAAGTGAGGGCTTTGTTCCTAAATCTCGGCTCTGCAGACTCTACGGTGAGAGCTGGAGGTTCGTAGGGGACACCACTGACAGGTGTTGAGAAAAGTCCTTCTGGTTATAGAGGTATCCATACCAAGTAGTATTTTCGATCCTTACCAGCTACTGTAGGCCCGTGACTGACTTCTTTCAATTAGTCAGAGGGGCTTGAAAATGAAGCTTGCAAAACTACTTTTTATCAAGGAAATAACGACTCTCGGCCAGTAAGGTTGTAAACGGCATTGATCCAACTACCGAAGTGAATTCAAGCACAGAATTTATAGTCCCGTGGGCATCAATAACGTGGCCTACTTGATAGTCCCAATTATTCTACACCCCACTAGGTTTTCTCTCTCAGAAAGTGTCATGTAGAGACATGATTCATTCATGAGTTGATATTGTTCAGACGATCATGACTATATCACAACGTCATGTACAGACACGATTCATCGTTTGTAATTGTTTTATCAACCATGACTATGTCTCAGTGATATGAGAAACATCATGGACTAGTTACTAGAAACCTAATCAAGATCCTAAACACACAACTGAGACTAGGAGAATTTTACTGAGTAAGTAATTATTCTGATGAATCTAGATCTGGAGGAACATAATCTGGTTGCTTGGCTCGAGGTATATGAACCTGAGCATATCATGTATAATAAAATATATAGAAATCTATCTCAATCACAATCATCATCTTAATTCATGTCACCACTAATAGCTGCAAAGGACAGTTTAACCATTTCCTTATAGAAAGCTCTAGGACCGCTTTTAGCAGGACCATAAGCTCATGTTGACTTTGCAGCCTACCACCGTCGATTCAGTCACGAAAATGCAGAACTACTTCGCGAATGTGGCGAGAAGAATACTCCTGAACACCTCTTTGTCTACTGGGATCTAGCAGGCCCCCCCCAACCTCGATCAAGACCCTCCTGCGGGATGGAGGGCGACATTAAATGGAAATTTGGAACAACTAGTGGAGCTTGAGCCTTCGGTAACCGGTGCAAGGACGTATAGCCATCCGAATGATTGGCCAAAAAAATAGGAATAGTGTTAAATTAAATAACTGTTGGTCAAACATAATTATTCTTGCACCTGAATATAATGGAGTTATGGTTGTGACTAATGTTTACTTAAGAGCATAATGAGTAAGGCGTTTGGAGATCTTATATACCCTGTATTAGTAGTTCCATATTAGCGTGTAGCGAGAGGTAGATCGTAGCACTAGGAGAGAGTGCAGAGAAGCAGTCGCGATACACGCTCTGTATTTTATGTTAACCCAATACTTTATCAAATCTACTTCCAGTAGTCCTATATCGGTTGTCTAAGAGAATCATATTCTAATAAATAGTTGCGAAATAATTCTAGGCGCAAAAGTAATAGGCTTAACGGCAGCAAGTAGCGACACGATACCATTTCGTCTGTGGAGATCTAATCAGACGCCATTTGGCAGTAGAGATTTCTGACAGCAATAAGCCGTGCAGGCACGTCAAACGTTCTCTAGGGAACATGGTGGCCGAGGTTATTCTGTGTGCCTTCTTGGCGTTAAATGTTCATAAATAAATGTTCTAACTTCAAACACTTTTAGCATATAATTTATTGAAGACTTTTGAGGCTTGGAAATATTGGAAGGCGGTTATATATGCATACGTATCCTTGGTCAACAGGCAGAGTTGATCTGCATATCATATAGAAATAGAGTAAACCCCAAAAATAAACCCAAAAATGAATTAATATTATTTGTGAGTAACAATTGCAATAATGGATCCAGCTATTTACGGTAATCTCCGTGCGGGAGCGTATTGTCCAATATAATTCAGATTATAAATCTTCTCTGGCCTACTTGATTTACCATATGGTTTCTGATCGCTAATAAAACTTTGAGTTCCGCGAATAGAAAGTGGCGAAAGTGGCTCTAGTTTCACCTTCTCAACATTGTGCTTGATCGTTGATGCGTGACTATCGACTTGATCCAAGAAAGTAGGGTTCTGTAATTTAGCTTCTAAATCCCCATGCCCACCGGCAATATTTGAAACATAACCAATCAATTCGTTATGTGTTCTCGAAAATGATCGATGGTTTTGGAGCATATGTTTGTAAATCAAATCTCCATTTTTCCTCTCCGCCCCTAAATCTGTAAACGGTAACCAGCTTCCGCGTTTGGTATTTTTAAATATATGCAAGTGACCTTCGTACCAGGCAAGTGCTCTTTGATTGTGTTGCCAATCAGAGCCAGTGTAGACTTGTCCCTGGTAGACGAGATCCGATAATTGAAATGGCTTGTTAATATCAATAGATAAGGATGTTTTTCTAGTTGGTGGAACGAAGTTTCTATACGATCCTTGCACATCGATAACTCCCTCGAAGGCTAGTTCGGCTATCACCTTAGGCGAACAACTTGTACCCCCATAGTTGGACCAGCGTGGTACAGAGTATCCGAAAAGCGTATTAATTAAACTTTTTTCTTTTTTTCTTTCCATCATTCGCATTATATCACTGCGGCAACCATTTTTATCCATTATTGGTGAGAGAAAAGCATAGGCAGCGTCTTCTGATATATCATTAAGATTATCACTTATTTTACTAATTATGCTGTAATCGCGCCATCTATGTGAGCAATAGAGCTGAACGTGCGTGCCAATACGATCAACTACGGTCTTAGTCGTAACAATATGTGGATCTTTGGGCACAGGAAACAGGTTATCGTCAGGAAGCTGAAATACACCATAGTTGGGATATGAAAAATCGTTAACTGCAAAAACTAATCGACTCTGCTCCCGGTTCCATTGTTCCGCTATTAGGATGAAAGCAGCGACGCAAACCATTTGGTTGAGGAGGCGAGTCGTTTGCTGTTGTGAGTGATTTTGTATGTTTTTACTAGTCACAAAAAGATATTGCAATGCTGAGTCAGGGTTGTGGACTAAGCGGCAAGAGTCGAAGCACGGCGATGATAATATTTGGTACGAAAATTAGTAAGATTGAAGCCGCTATTTGGCAAAAAGATTTGGATTCAGTTTAAGCTTCGTTGGCACACCATCTTTATACACATCCTCTTCGGTTCATACATGGCTTAAATTTGAAGATTAGTGGGGATTGTCTGTGTCATGGTCTCTGATTGAAATGATGAATAGACAGGAAGCTAATAATATGATGAGTTATGAATACAAATCTCAAGGAGTAATGTGGGGCTGAAATGCAACACCTGTCAGTAGTGTCGCCTTTGAACCTTCACCTATCGCCATACTATGGATGACTAAAATTAAGCCCAGCACTAGATACGAGGGCATCTGCTGTCTATGAATCTACGGCAGCCTCCACTCCTATGGACGCTACAAGGAAGTTAGACTGCGCAAGTGAACTGCATGCAATTTCTCATGACGTTTCTGAAATTTGAACCAATGCTCAAAATCCCCTTGGGTGTAAAAGATGAATGGCATCAGGAGATTAGAAAGCAAAGTTTGACTCTTTTAGGTTCACGCAAGTGAAGCACCCGACTTGCCAGCTCCTTCGAAGACTTAACGATTATAGCCTTATTTTTGAATGTAGTACTGATGTCGCTAATTGAGGAAATCTGCACGGAATGGTATCTTCAGTGTTTCCGGGCCGTGAGACACCCGCATATAGTTTTGTTCATTTGATCAAAGATGGGAGATAATGAAAGACCAGGGCTCCCTTGCGTGTATAAATTATTCAAGACTTGTGAGGTATAGAACTGTCGGAGGGGAGCATTAACCGTCGTAGCAATCCTTGGTAAACTGATAGAGCGGACCTATATTTCATGGAGTTAGTTGAGTAAATTCTGACACAATCTCTAAATTAATAGAGATGTTCTGACATAAATGCAAATTTAACCAGTCGCCTAAGGATCGTAAATCATCAACCTGTCCCACTTTACAGGCAACTTTGACAGGGAGCAGGCAATGTGCAAGCATAGCCTGGCTCTAGTTCAAAATTAAAATTATAATCTTTGTGAGCAACGGATAGACTTCTCGCAGCTCTCAGGAAAATTTATTAATTATACAACTTGAGTCATAGACTTCCTAACACATTGGGCTCCTGTTCTCTTTTATTCATTTAATTTTATCTCATACATCGCCTATAGTGAATAGCCATTCAGCTCAGCATTTACCCGTGAAATTCTTGTAATGCGATTTTTGCAGTTACTATAAAAATATATCTGCCAAGTGTCAGGGATGCCGTACACCTGTGCAAGTACTGCACAGCCCTACATAGCCACCATTACGTTCGATTCGTGGGGCGCAGCTTCTCACAGCAGCATAGAGTAATGTGGCATAATATTGCATGAAACTGAGATTGTACCATTTTCCGCGCAGACGGTAATCTACGATGAAGTGGGTGCCGACTATGTATGAGTCCTGCTCACCATCATGACATGTAGATGGATTACCAAAGAATTATTCATCATACCATCAAGCTCCAATAATCGTTATCCACTCCTCTCTGCTATCCCTAGCCCGTTCAAGATTCCATACCTACTCAACTTAATCATGATAATCCAGTCTCCTTCTCCACGGAATAAGTCTCAAAAATCCTGCAGCCCCAGCCAGGCGAGGCCTAGACACCGGGACCACATGAGGTGCGCATATTTATCTATATCTCCCTTCTTTGTAATAGTCGAGGCCGACTTGATCCAATCTACCATCTCCGTATCGGATGCTGGGTACGCTCCGGAAACTCATCGGTTGGATTTTCCTCCGTGGTCAAGTGTCTGTGATGAGAAAAGCTTCGACCCTGCCATCTGATCTGATCGTGGTTAGCTTCTTGGTAATAGTTTTAGGTAGATGTGTTGAGAGATAATTATAATTATTATTTCATTTTATTGTCCTCTCTAAGTGTACGACTATGTAGGACATGCAGGTCCTTTCTGCCTACGGGCCAAGGATACCTATACCTCCTGTACAGCTCTCCTCGAACAGTACCACCCCTCACAAGTCCTCATTCGATCATAGACTTAGAGGAGCCCTTATCCCTTCATTATCTCACCTCTCCGGTCAACGAAACGATGGCCATTTGCGGGTGTATGATATTGAAAGGCTATGCTGAGCTGGAATGACGTACCGTTAGGATGAAAGAATGAAAGGGTGTAGCTATGGCTTTAAGAGAAGTAAAGTTCATGAGTTATACTCTTAGGACTTGGATCAATGGATGTACTTGAGGATATTCCCTAGTTTTCTTAAGTGTGTGAATGATATGGAGATTGTTTTCATTTCCTGTCGTATGAATTGCTTAATTTATTTACGTGACAGGACCTTCTTCTATAAACATAAATAAGGGGGTTCTGCACACTAGTGGATGTTCCAACATATGTTCTTGTCCAACCGAGAAAGGAAGGATGTGAGAGATCCTAGCGTCAATAGATACCATTAGGAATCTTTTGGGAAATACTATGTCATACCAATGAGTGATGATCTAGGTCAATTATATCCCATGGCGCATGTGAACATTATTTTAATGTGAAAAGTTTATTGTAATGCAGTCATGTTACTCCGTTAATTACAACATATGGCAGCCGGGAAAAATCGCAAAAGCTACTGGGAGCGCGGCTCTTCTAATACCGACATTAGGTCTAAGTCCGAAGATATAGTGATCCTTCTGATGCGTTCGAGGAGGCCGGCCAGCTGGGCGCTGCAGACTTGTGGATACCTCGGAGACTTCACACTCTACCTTTCTGGCCTACTTCCAACTCCTTCCCGAAGTTCGTGCTGAAATGTCAGAAAAGTCTTGACAGAGCGCGATTGCTGTTTGATAGCTTAGCCCAACTTCTTTTGTGCCGTCCAGGGCGGTGGGGAGTGCCGTTGACTCATCGACAATAGAAGTCCTCCTGGCTAATTCCCCGAAATCTCGATATTGGCGCCCACATACGTTCCAAGGTCGAAAACTTCTCGAAAATACCAGACCTATTATTCCCACAGGAGGTCTCTCTCTTATGTCTCTCCACGCCCCAGTCGTCTATCCTTCCTCAAGATATATAGCCCCATTAGAGCAGCAGTCTCCCATGAACCAAGACCTCAACTTTGTATATTATGACTTAATTTTCTCCTTGTGGATATACTTAGCGTCATAAATTTGTAGTGAGTGATGGTCGGTAACAAATGAGGCAAGCTCCTGTTTGCAATTGGAGTAATGTCTTTATCGGTCGTTGAGGCGAGGTGTTGTGTGGAGAGGTTAATGTAGAGGACTCTCGTGAGAATGAGAAGTCGCCAATTGTAGTTGCATCTGTGTTTGCTTTCGACTTCGATTCGGATGCGATTCTTGTTGGCTATCTCATACATGCAGAGCATACTGAGCGATTACACCGGTACAACTGGAAGGTGAAAACTTCTTCTTTCCCGGCATGTATTGAGAGATGAAACGATACAGACGGCAAAATCGCATGGGAATCCTCAAGGAACTAAGGACGGTCTCAATAAATCTCCGCTCCGCGATGCAACGGTCACGAAAAATAAAGCTTGGGCATTTCGATGTCGACAGGTGAAATCACTTGTTCAATGAAGAATAAAATTAATGCTACATCTAATGCCCGTTTTGTATATATGGTTCCAATATTCCGAACACTAGTAGCTGTCCTCCAGTTTTGCTCCCTTTATTCGGGTGTGGACTAGATAACAATGTTTCGAACACGGGCAGTTCCAGACTATCAATACGAGCGTAACTTAGTGCTGACCTGACGAATATGCCTGCGCTGAACAGCGCTGTCTACACGCAATCTTTTGGCTTCCCGGCAAATACACGTAGACTCTACCGTGAGAGCTCGAGGCTCGAAGGGGACACCGCTGATAGGTGTTGAGTTTTCGTCCTCCGGATGCGTAGCTTACAAAGTTGTGAACTGGAGAACAGGAGGGCAAGATTGAACACCTATACGCGGTATCCTCCACGAACCTGGAAGTGGAATATTCTCCCAGAGCCAAGTTCAGTCAAATTTCGCAATATCAAAGAAGTTGGCTTACGGGGCAATAATTCAAAATCCACCACCATGGCAAATTTTAACTCCCAACGAAATTGATTCCAACCGAAATCTCACCAAGTCTACAAGTGCGACCAAGTACATCCTCATTCCAATGACCACACCTCTCGTCGACTTTCTCTAGCCTCAGCTAGTCACCAAATACACTTTCACGACGATATTTACACCCGACAGAGGTAACAAAGTGTGGCGCAAAAATCTGGGAAACAGTTCTTTAGGATAAACGTGAGAGAGATCAGGACAATTTTACAAGATGATGCAGGGGATGGATACAGTCCCGGAGGGCGTGTGATGAGGAACTTTGGCACGGAGTTTTACAAACTGAGCTTTGTGTATGCGTTATGACTTCGGCCTAGAGAGTGCAGTCGACACTATAAATACCGCCATGATTTGATGGTGCGGTGGTACATCGTCTGGACCTGTCTCCTAAGTGAGGTCTAGATAGCTTGGACAAACATCCCACGCGAGACAGAAGATCACTGGTTCAAATCTGGCAAAACACAACCAAATTTCTAGCGGCGCAAGCTTACAGGGATGGCGAAGGCATGCTTGGATAATTAAAGGGTTTGAAATTTAATTTGGTGAGTACTTACGGAGGAGGGTTGACTGATCGTAAGCAAGCATATCTCATAGTGATATTTACAAATGAAATCCAGAGTATGAGTGACTCTAACGTCAAAAGATTCATCCATCATGTAAACATAGCATCGGCCATGTGTCATAGCTAGATAGCTGAATACAAATTAAATGATTTTCAGAAAAAAAAGTCGACGTATTGTCTATTACATTTTGGTCCTTTATTGGCCTTACACTATTCATGACACAAAGATTCTTTCTGCC